ATTCAAGGTATTCGAGGTATAAGGTAATTAGTGAGCAAGAATTTTGAGTACATTAGCACAAAAATTGCATGTCGAAAAAGAAAAAATACAGGTAGAAGAAGCAGCAGAAGTGAATTTTCCACGTCAATATCGAAATATTCGAAGGCCTTGGATCTATCCCGGTTCATCTGCCAAATTATACACAAGTCAAAATTTGCAGTACACTTGGCTGTGGATCAAATCACTCGGTGTCAGAGGTCTAAATGAAATAACAGTGAGTTTCGGTTTTTTCTTTAAATCGGCTAATTTCCAAAAACTTTCGCCACATACATGACCTTTTCGAAATTCTTGTATCGTTTTGGGCAAAAGATGAAAATTGCAAAAGGTGAATGGGGAAAAAAGATGCAAGTACTTTAAAAAAATGTGCTTCGAGTACATCAAAAAAAGTGATGTTCGAGTACTACTTACCTTAGAAAATTAAGAAGCGATTCAGTTCATCGTCCTTAGCGTAGCGGATTCAAAGGGACAGGCAAGTGATAATGATTCTGGTCATCGTCGGCTTGCTTAACAATCTATCGGCATCTTTCGTAATAGAAGTCTTTTGGCAAATATTGTTCACAGGCAAGTAAGATATGTAAGAATAGAAAAATGAAGGAAATGTTTAAAAAAAAAAGTTCTTCAACTCATCAGTCAGTGAACTGGAAAGAAAATGAGCCTGGATTTGTCTGAAGATTAAAACATAACAGGTTGATGATGTCCTGACAAAGCTAGAAGCTAGTGGATGCTTGTTTATGCCTTGGGGTTCTACGGTCCTTCGCGTTCTTCTTGATGCAAAACCGCTGGAGCTGAGCGGAGACAAAAGCTGCACCATGGAACAGGTTTTTATTTTTACTGGCGTTCTTACCCGCTCCTTTCACGGTTTGCACATAAAAAAAAAGCGTGTTTTTGTGTACGCATATTTTCGTATGTATGTGAGTGTTTTTATGCACGCATATTGTGCACCTATTTTCGTATTCTTCGTATATGTGTTGTTTGTTTGTTTGTGTGTGTGTGTGCATTTATGTCACTTTGTACTAATATGAACTAAAAAGATCGCCAGGACTGCAAAAGCTCCTGATGCTTTGCCGAGGACGCTTCTTGAGCTACACTTCCGGAAAATTGGAAAATGCCTTCGAAGATCGTCCCAAACATCAAGGATTCTGGTAAAATTCGGACTTTACTTATTTTTAGGCTCGAGAAATATGCATGCACAACTTTGGCTTGC